ACAGGCGCCCACCACCGTGCCTGGCTCATTTTTTTAAATGTATTTTTAGTAGAGACGGGGTTTCACCATGTTAGCCAGGATGGTCTTGATCTCCTGACCTCGTGATCTGCCCGTCTCGGCCTCCCAAAGCGCTGGGATTACAGGCGTGAGCCACCGCGCCCGGCCTTATTTTTTTAACTTTTAAGTTCAGGGTTATATATGCAGGTTTGTTACATAGGTAAACTTGCGTCATGGGGGTTTGTTGTACAGGTTACTTCATCACCCAGGTATTAAGCCTAGTACCCACTAGTTATTTTTTCCTGATCCTCTCCCTAGGCTGAATTTTTCTCTGAAAAGGAAACACTTTCCAAAAAGATGTCAAATACTGTAATGTCAAATCTTGGAAAAGATAATCAGCAGTAAAAGTTCTGACTATTTTTTAAATTCACGAGCAAAATTACTGGTTATGTGTCCAATATACTTGTTTGCCTGCTTTTCTGCAAAGGGTCTCTGTCAACATCTAGCTTTTTCTCAGCCAAATCGGACAGCCTCCAGGAGAGCTGTTGATACTGAAACTTAGTTGGGCAAAGGCTTCCAGCTCAGAGAAGTGATATGCTTGTAAGGGTGTAGAATCTCTTTTTCTAGAAACAACCTGGCTTCCCACCAATCAATTCTCTCTTCTCAATGCAGCTTTTATTTAAGCTATAATCTACACTTTCCCACTCCATACCAGCTGGATACTTTCCTTAATAAACAGATCTCTGTGCAGTACACTGCAGAGCTGAGCATTCTTCCAAAGGGAGGGAGAAATCCTGTTGCCTCTCTTTACTCAATCTGGTTGAGCTTCAGGCATGGCAGCTATGCACAAGATGAGATGACTTTGCAGAAAATCAACACCACTTGCAGCTAGAATGCCTCTTTTTCCATGTCAACTGCTGGGAAACCCAGCAGGGCAAAGACTCAATGGAGAAGAGATAGGGATTTGGACATAGGATATGGCAGTGTTAACAAAGGGAGGAAGCCACCAAGGAACAAGTATAATAAGACGTTTAGACAACTTGTTCATGCATTTACTTTGTTAGGTAGGAGTTAAATTACAGGGTTCCTCAATTTTGAAGCTTTTTTTCCCCCCCAAATAAATATTCACAATGGAAATAAAATGTCCATTTTCTAGAATACAAAATTATACCTGAAGCTGAAGACATTTTCACTTGTTCAAAAATATGTACATATATACACAATGCTGATGTGCAAAAAAAGTACACAGATGTGTACTTAAAAAACACTCTATGTGATACTCTAATAGTGAATACATGTAATAAATTTGTCCAAATCCATACAACGTACAACACCAAGAGTGAACTCTATTGTAAACTATGGGCTTTAGTTTATAATGATGTGCCAATGTAGACTAATGAGCTGTAACAAATGTACCACTCCGGTGGAGGAGTTGACAATGGCACAGACTATGCATGTGCTGGGATAAGTTGCAGATGGGAAATCTCTATACCTTTTGCTCAATTTTGCTGTGAACCTAACACTGTTCTTTAAAAAAATAAAAGTCAGCCGGGCGCGGTGGCTCACGCCTGTAATCCCAGCACTTTGGGAGGCCAAGACGGGCGGATCATGACGTCAAGAGATCAAGACCATCCTGGCTAACACGGTCAAACCCCATCTCTACTAAAAATACAAAAATTAGCTGGGTGTGGTGGTGGGCGTCTGTAGTCCCAGCTACTTGGGAGGCTGAGGCAGGAGAATGGCATGAACCCGGGAGGCAGAGCTTGCAGTGAGTGGAGATCATGCCACTGCACTCCAGCCTGGGCGACAGAGCAAGACTCTGTCTCAAAAATAAATAAATAAATAAATAAAATAAAAAAATAAAAAAACAAAGTCAATGTATTATATCTGTGTGTGTATACACAAAAATATATATGTACATCTATAAATAAAAGTAAAAAAGATTGGAGCTGGGGGCAGTGGCTCATGCCTGTAATCCTGGCACTTTGGGAGGCTGAGGCGGGTGGATCAGGAGTTCGAGGCCAGTCTGGTTAACATAGTGAAATCCCATCTCTACTAAAAATACAAAAAATTAGCCGGGTGTGGTAGTGTGTGCCTGTAATCCCAGCTACTCGAGAGGCTGAGGCAGGAGAATCATGTGAACCTGGGAGGTGGAGGTTGCAGTGAGCTGAGATCATGCCACTGCATTCCAGCATGGGTGACAGAGCGAGACTCTGTCTCAAAAAAAAAAAAAAAAAAGATTGGAAGGCAATATTATATAACAAAAGATGATGGTGATTATCAGTCTTGATGATTAAATAAATATAATAATCTATTGTCTTCTAAAAGTTTTAAAAATGAACATGGATTATCATTATTTTTAGACAGGGTCTCACTTTGTTGCTCAGGGTGGAGTGCAGCGGCATGATCATGGCTCACTGTAGCCTCCAACTCCCAGGCTCAGGGGATTCTCCTGTTTTGGCCACCTCAAGTGCTGGGATTACAGGTGTGAGCCACCACATCTGGCCAGAATTATTTTATTTATTTATTTTTTTGAGACGGATTCTCGCTCTGTCGCCCAGTTTGGAGTGCAGTGGCGCGATCTTGGCTCACTGCAAGCTCCGCCTCCTGGGTTCATGCCATTCTCCTGCCTCAGCCTCCCAAGTAGCCGGGACTACAGGCGCCTGCCACCATGCTCAGCTAATTTTTTTGTATTTTTAGTAGAGACAGGGTTTCACCATGTTAGCCAGGATGGTCTCGATCTCCTGACCTCGTGATCCACCTGCCTTGGCCTCCCAAAGTGCTGGGATTACAGGTGTGAGCCACCGCGCCTGGCCCAGAATGATTTTTTTTAATAAGAAAAAAACTCAAGACAGAAGATTACACCTGACAATAATGAAATCATGGTATTAATCTACTGGCACAAATGCTCAAATGCATTTGTAGTTGATTAGGGAAATGTAATTTTGGGGAAATTGGATTGTTTTTTCTGCTTACAATACTATTAAAATTTGCTTGCATGGCCTAAAATACACCATTTGAGGAGTAGTTCTTGAGTGGGTCAAGAACACAGGGAAGCACGCATGAAATAAAACAGGTTGATCAGTCAGAAACTGACTGTATTTGATCTTCATCATGTCTATATTCTTTTAAGTGTTAAAAGCCAAGCTCAATGGGAAACTTGACTCCCAAGTTTGCAGCTTCAGTCACATGAGCTCCTTTTGACTACAGGTATTTGCCCTTCATAAAAATTAGTCTTCAAAAACAAAACAAAACAAAACAAAAACAAAAACAAAAACAGTTGGGAGGGCCCCATAGAATGAGTGACTCACAAGTTTTCTATAGATAACACAAAGTTTCTTTCCAACAATACAAGAGCAGGATGTATCTGAATCCTTGTGGAAGTATACATAAGAGACAACAAAGCCAGGTGCCTTGCAAATGGAAAAGCCAATGCCAGTTTTGCAGTATGATCTACAACCAGAAATGCCAACACATATTGGTCAGTTAAAGTAATGGAAAGTAAGTCCCCCTCCCAGCTCACAGCTTTTCATGAGTAATTTCATAGCTAATACGCCACTATGAATCACTCTAGACACATATATCCTAGAGTGTCAACAAGTTATTTCAGGGCACAAGTCTTCAAAGGCATAGTCTGAGTGTCTCATGAAATAAACACTTGAATATTCAGAGTGAGGTGGATCCAGTTTAGTCAGTTCCTGAGCATTTATTCCCCTTCTCTTGTGTTTCCCAGCTTCTAATCATTTCACAGTTTATAAACGTCCTCAAGAAGAGAAAGGAAGTGAAATTCAAACCAACTGATTGTAAGCATTTTTGGTGAAAAGTGTGGGAAGTGGACACAAAATGAGGTTTTGGCATTCTCCATTGATTTTAATTATTCTTGTTAACTTTGTTCCCACTACATGTAACAGATAAGAACTAAAACTCTAACATTTGAGAGAGAAATAGGTTTTAGGATTTTAGAAGCTTTCATAATCTACCTGTCAGAGAGGTCTTCTTGGGCTAGTTACAAGGTCACTAAATGTTCAGGAACCATGAAGAACAATTTTTAGTCACCAATTTTTTGGTAATCGTAAAAGTAGGGACTCAAAGTGTAGCTACAAGGTTTCATATGTTTGAAAGTCCAGTAGTCTCCTCTCTCAGTTATATAGTAGCTCCCACCAGCTCTGCTCAGATATATTAGACCTTAGACACATTTGGCAGATTTGAGAGTGACCTTAAAGGATCATCCTATTTGGGGTCAGGTGCGATGCCTCATGCCTGTAACCCCAGCACTTTGGGAAGGATGAGGTAGGCGGATCACTTGAGCTCAGGAGTTCGAGACCAGCCTGGGAAACATGGTAAAACCCCATCCCCACAGAAAATACAAAAATTAGATGGGGGTGGTGGCACATGCTTGTGGTCCCAGCTACTCAAGAGGCTGAGAAGCGAGAATCACTTGAGCCTGTGAGGTTTAGGCTGCACTGAGCCGAGATTGTGCCACTACACTCCAGCCTGGGCAATAGAGCGAGACCCTGTTTCAAAAATAAAAACAAAATTAAAAATGAAGGCCAGGCACAGTGGCTCATGTCTGTAATCCCAGCACTTTGGGAGGCCAAGACGGGCAGATCACCTGAGGTTAAGAGTTCAAGACCAATGTGGCCAAGATGGCAAAACACCGTCTCTACTAAAAATACAAAAATTAGCTGAGTGTGGTGGTATGCACCTGTAGTCCCAGCTATTCAGGAGGCTAAGGTAGGAGAATTCCTTGAACCCGGGAGGCAGAGGTTGCAGTGAGACGAGATCGTGCCACCGCACTCCAGCCTGGGCAACAGAGCGAGACTCCGTCACACACACGCACGCACACAAAAAAGTAATAAAATAATCAGGAAGTGATGAGGTTTGAGTACTTATCACTTTTGTCTTTAATGTAAGTTACATTTTATTGATGTATAATAAAATTTAACAATTACCCCCGCCCATGAGTCCATAAGTACACCACTTAAAGTGGCCTTAAAACTTACCAAGAACACATGCTCAAATATTTGTGTAGGGCTATCCATTTGACCAAGGATCACTATCATTTCGTTGTCTATAAATTCCTTGAATTCCCGCAAGTTGCACACCATTTGCATTTCCAACTCTGTTCTTATCTGAAACAAAGATGACATATTGTACCCATCTCTTAAAGTCCCTCTATACTTTCAACCATGCACTATTTCCAGCCCCACACCTACTGTTATACCACTGCTAGCCTTGGAACAAACAAGGACTCAAGGTCTCTTACCTCTTTGGATGTAATATTCTCCAAATCCTTCTGCATCATGATCTCCCTTAATTTGGTTTTAATTAGCCTTTCTGTTCGTTCACGTTCAGTAGGTCTGAAAAGAGAGAAATAACGATTATTCTTAAGCAGGAATTTGACTAAGTTAATGAATGTACCATTTGATTAGGCTTCCAATTTAGCAAACCTTGCCTTTGTTACCCTCAAATTCATATTGTGGAAGCATGGCAAAATAAAATCATATTTTAAAAAGCTTATTAGGCCGGGCGCGGTGGCTCAAGCCTGTAATCCCAGCACTTTGGGAGGCCGAGACGGGCGGATCACGAGGTCAGGAGATCGAGACCATCCTGGCTAACACGGTGAAACCCCGTCTCTACTAAAAAATACAAAAATCTAGCCGGGCGAGGTGGCGGGTGCCTGTAGTCCCAGCTGCTCGGGAGGCTGAGGCAGGAGAATGGCGTAAACCCGGGAGGCGGAGCTTGCAGTGAGCTGAGATCCGGCCACTGCAGTCCAGCCTGGGCAACAGAGCAAGACTCCGTCTCAAAAAAAAAAAAAAAAAAAAAAAAAGCTTATTAATTTTCAGAATGTACAGAATTTAAACATGTTAGAAATTATTACTTTGAAGAGGTTATATGTGTCTAAAGCCCTTAAATACATTCATGTATTTAGATCATGAGGGAGCAAAGATAATTTGGGTGTACTGATTGTAATATATATATTTTTTTGAGATGGAGTCTCGCTCTGTTGCCCAGGCTGGAGTGCAGTGGCGCAATCTTCGTTCACTGCAAGCTCCGCTTCCTGGGTTCATGCCATTCTGCCTCAGCTTCCTGAGTTGCTTGACTACAGGCACCTGCCACCACACCCGGCTAATTTTTTGTATTTTTAGTAGAGACGGGGTTTCACCGTGTTAGCCAGGATGGTCTCGATCTCCTGACCTCGTGATCTGCCCGTCTTGGCCTCCCAAAGTGCTGGGATTACAGGCGTGAACCACCGTGCCTGGTAGATTGTAATACTTTAATGGAGGACGACACCCATACTTGTTTCTGTATTCTGGGTATTACTTACTGAGCTAGAATACCCAGCTCAGTAGACCAGTACTATGACCTCCCATGGAACTAAGTCTCCTGTGGTTTAAAATGCCACCTTATGCTGATAAGTCAATGTTGTGGTTCTAGAAAATGGGAAAGAAAGAATGATCAGGCTGGGCGCGGTGGCTCAAGCCTGTAATCCCAGCACTTTGGGAGGCCGAGACGGGCGGATCACGAGGTCAGGAGATCGAGACCATCCTGGCTAACACGGTGAAACCCCGTCTCTACTAAAAAATACAAAAATCTAGCCGGGCGAGGTGGCGGGTGCCTGTAGTCCCAGCTGCTCGGGAGGCTGAGGCAGGAGAATGGCGTAAACCCGGGAGGCGGAGCTTGCAGTGAGCTGAGATCCGGCCACTGCACCCCAGCCTGGGCGACAGAGCGAGACTCCGTCTCAAAAAAAAAAAAAAGAAAGAAAGAAGAATGATCCTGCCTTCTTCAATAAGGCAAATCCTCTCCCAAAATCGGTTGTAGAGATCAACTACTTAGAGCAGGGGTACCCAATGGGTACTGGTCAGTGGCCTGTTAGAAGCGGGCAGCAGAGCAGGAGGTGAGCGGCGGGCAAGCATTACTGCCTGAACTCCACCTCCTGTCAGATCAGCGGCATTAGATTCTCATAGGAGCGCAAACCCTATTGTGAACTGCACATGTGAGGGATCAAGGTTGCATGCTCCTTATGAGAAGCTAACTAATGCCTAATGATCTGAGGTGAAACAGTTTCATCACGAAACCATCCCCGCCCCACTGCTCCCTGTCTGTAGGAAACCGGTCCCTGGTGCCAAAAAGGCTGGGGACTGCTGACTTAAGAGCCCTTCCATCCAGAATGCTTTCCTTTTAATGACAGTTCTCACAATATCTCTGTGAAACAGTTATCCTTGTTTTACAGATAGAGGAAACAAACAACTGAAAAGTTAAATGACATGCTGATAACCACGCTGGCGCAGGACAATTAGAACACTCAGCCTAGCCTAATGCTCTACCTGAAGGATTGTCACTTCCTTTAGTCTTCTGACTCTCTTAAAAATAAAATCACCCTTAGAACTTTAATATGAAATCAAACTAGGTAGCTGCCTCTCCAATTATTAGAAAAGTAGTGGTTCAATGTAACTAGATACTTCTCCTCTAAAGCATTATTTCAGATTATGCAGAATTTGAATGAGGTTGACAGGGAGTACTTTGTTTCATCTCCTCCCCAACTCCCACCACCTACTCAAGAAAGGTATCTGGCTCTGCACCTCCTTATTTGGAGATGAAAATGGACTAAGCCTTCAGGCATCCTGCCTGCCCTTGCTGCCTACAGCCTTATCGCTGGTTGCAAAAATAGCTTTGGTAATCTCCAGAGATGGATGCTCTAACCCCACAACCTTGGGGCTTCCCACCACTTGTGCTCTTAATTTCTCACGAACCCTACAGAATACAGCTAATACCTGAGGTGTTTCTCTTCAATCAGCCAAGGTATTCCTGTCTTAACTAGGATTAAAATTCTTATCCATGCTTTATTTATCCTAGACATAGCTAATGTAGAAAATAAATGTATAATTTCAGTCTTCCATTAAAAATAAATATTGGGCCAGGTGCAGTGGTTAATGCATGTAATCCCAGCACTTTGGGAGGCCGAGGGGGGTGAATTGCTTGAGCTTAAGAGTTCGAGACTAGCCCAGGCAATTGGCGAAACCCCATATCTACAAAAAATAAAAATAAAAAATTAGCCAGGCATAGTGACACACAGCTGTAGTTCCACAGCTACTTGGGAGGCTGAGGTGGGAGGACTGCTTGAGCCCCAGAGGTGGAGGCTGCAGTGAGCTCTGATTGCACCACTTCACTCCAGCCTGGGTAACAGAGCAAGACTCTGTCTTGAGGAAAAACAAAAAGGTAAAAGCAAATTTTAGTACCTGTGTTCATGGGTCAGATTCCCTAGTTCCTAAGCAATTTTTCCTTTAATCCTTCACAGGTGTTTGAGGCAGAGTGGTTGGGGAGTAGAAAGACCTAGGTTTTAATCCCAGCCCTGCTATTGGTGGTGTGACTTCTAACAAGTTCCTTCTCTTCCCTGCACCTCTGTTTCCTTTTCTATAAAATGAGTAGAGCAGGCTGGGTGTGGTGGCTCACACCTGTAATCTCAGCACTTTGGGAGGCTGAGGCAGGTGGATCACCTGAGGTCAGGAGTTCGAGACCAGCCTAGCCAGCAGGGTGAAACCCTGTCTCTACTAAAAATACAAAAATTGGCCGGGCATGGTGGCGGGCACCTGTAATCTTAGCTACTTGGGAGGCTGAGGCAGGAGAATTGCTGGAACCCCGGAGGCGGAGGTTGCAGTGAGCTGAGATAGTGCCATTGCACTCCAGCCCAGGCCGAAAACAGTGAGACTCCATCTTAAAAAAAAAAAAAAAAAAAAAAAAAGAGTAGAGCAATAATACCTGTCTCATGATAGTCTTATGAGAACATGTATGAAGTGCTGGCATAACACCAGATGTATATCCCATATATGTATATTCTCTTCTTCCTCCTTTCCCTGGATTTCAAAATATAAATTCACAGTAGAGTATTTAAGTCCATTTTGGCACACATTCTCCCTGTATTCTCAGCATCGTTTTATAGGCTTTTCTAGTCAACTTAGGGAGGAGGAGGAATGGAAAAAGCATTATAACACACAAATCTGCTTTTTCCTCCTCAATTTCATTGGAGAAAAATTTGGAAAATATGTAAAAATATAAAGTAAATAAAAACCACTGAAAATCCCTCTACCTAGAGATAATTATTAACAACACTCTGGCCTACAGCTTTCGTGTATTCTTTTTCTGTAAACAGACAAATTCTTAAAATATATCTTAAAATTAGGGTTATTATTGTACATACTAAGAACTAACAGTTAGTAAGCCTTTATCATTTGCCAGGGACTGCCTTTATGTTTTTTGCTTAGGGATGTAAACAGAGTAAGAGTAATTTTCTTCTTCTTCTTGTTTTTTGTGTAGTGTCAAAATCTTCGCTAATAAAATCTTTTTTTTTTTTTTTTTTGAGACAAGAGTCTCGCTCTGTTGCCCAGGCTGGAGTGCAGTGGCACGATCTGTGCGATTTTCTCGGGTCAGTGCAACCTCTGCCTCTCAGATTCAAATGATTCTCCTGCCTCAGCCTCCTGAGTAGCTGGGATTATAGGCGCCTGCCACCATGCCTGGCTAATTTTTGTATTTTCAGTAGAGACGGGGGTTTCATCATGTTGGCCAGGATGGTCTCGAACTCCTGACCTCAGGTGATCCACCTGCGTTGGCCTCCCAAAGTGCTGATTACAGGTGTGAGCCACTGTGCCCAACTTGTCTCTAATAAAATCTGGAAAAAATGGGAAGAAAAGTTCTCTCTCTCTCATGTAAGTCTGGTTTAGAATGTGCTTTTTTGAGCTAGATGAGACATCCATTTCTCTGAAACTCATCACCTAGCTGTAAAGCATGAAATCACCAGTAACATTTCCCATGAATTTTTATCTTTTCAATTACTGTGAGATTCTGAAAAGACCAAGGCTACTGAAAAGAAGGTCCTAGTAGCAATAACACCCTGTGCAAAAAAAGATTCCACTGCTTTTTTGACTGTTCCTTTCATACAATTTCTGGAAAGTTCACCTTTTCTAGTAAAGAGCATTTTTTAGGCCAGGTGCAGTGGCCACGCCTGTAATCCCAGCACTTTGGGAGGCTGAGGCAGGTGGAGACCAGCCTGGCCAACATGGAGAAACCCCGTCACTACTAAAAATACATAAATTAGCTGACCGTGGTGGCACACGCCTGTAATCCCAGCTACTCGGTAGGCTGAGGCAGGAGAATTGCTTGAACCCGGGAGGCAGAGATTGTAGTAAGCCAAGATCATGCCACTGCATTCCAGCCTGGGCGACAGAGTGAGACTTAGTCTCAAAAAATAGAATAAAATAAACTATTCTGTTAAAAAAAAAAAAAAAAAACTTGGCCGGGCGCATGGTGGCTCAGCCTGTAATCCCACCACTTTGGGAGGCCGAGGCAGGTGGATTGCCTGAGCTCGGGAGTTTGAAACCAGCCTGGGCAACATAGCAAAACCTTGTCTCTACTAAAAATACAAAAAATTAGCTGGGTGTAGTGGTGGACACCTGTAATCCCAGCTACTCAGGAGGCTAAGGCAGGAGAATTGCTTGAACTCAGGAGGCAGAGGTTGCTGTGAGCAGAGATCATGCCACTGCACTCCAGCCTGGCGACAGAGCAAGACTCTGTCTTAAAAAAAGAAAAAAAAAAAAAAAACCCCTCCCCCCGCCCCCCAAAAAAACCAGGAACTGTTTTGGCATGACTTTAGGAATCTAAAGGAGAATCCTGTTTGTAAGGTCAGACAGTAACTAGCTACTCTTCTTTCCCTGCTGTAGAATACCTTGGAAGTGCAGAAAGATCAATTTAGAGCAAAAGAAACATCATGACGAATTTACAAAGCAGGCACTAAGTGTAAAAAAATTTCCAAAATAGCCACAGAAGTTTCAACACATAGACCTAAAAAGGAAATAAACATCAGCTTTACCTTAGGCTGTTATCTAACTCACAGTACACTAGGGAGATTTAATTAAATTGTACTGACAAGAACTTATCAACGGAAAGGTAGAGCAGAATAAGACATTTGAATGATAAAATATTTAAAAAATTTTTTTAAGTTAAAAATTAACAGGCTGGGTGTAGTGGCTCACACCTGTAATCCCAGGATTTTGGTAGGCTGAGGCAGGAGGACTGAGGCCAGGAGTTTAAGACCCGCCTGAGCAACATAGTGAGACCCCATCTCTAAAAAAATAAAAATTTAAAAATTAGCCAGGTGTGGTGGCACATGCCTGTAGTCCTAGGTACTTTGCAGGCTGAAGTGAGAGGATCACTTAAGCCCAGAAGTTTGAGGCTGCAGCGAGCTATGATTGTGCCACTGTACTCCAGCCTGGGTGAGAGTGAGATCCTGTCTTTTAAAAAAAAAATTAGCTTAACAAGTTAGGCATTAAGTTGACTGGAAACATCTTGTTTTCTTAAGTATTACAAACATGACTTTGAAAGCTTCTTTATATCACCAGTAATGCTTACTAATCTGATTCTTTCAGATAATGCAAACTCAAACTTCAGCGCAACTCCTTTAAACTCAATTTTCAAATTAGTGGAATCTGAATAATGAAATTTTATGGTATTGCAGTTTTTGACTATGGAGACTCCACTGTGCCTTGGGGTGAAGCTTCTCAGGCCTTTGCAGGCAACAGCAAGAATAGGATTCTTCATATGTGGCAGATATGTGGTACTGACAGTGACTAATATTCCTAGGTAAGATTAATTCCCCAAGAGAAAAGATTAGGGAGGAACATGCTTCTTATGACTCCTCAGGACATAATGTAGAGAACTTCCATAATCCTTAGCAAACTGACTTACATGTCGGTGAAGAGAGCTGGAGAGTCGGGCCGGTGGGACTGGACATCTTGCATAGCATTCCATTCATTGACTGAGGATTGATCTGAGTTGATATGGCTCTCATAATAACTCACCCAGGTGAGAAATAGGCTGCCTGGGTAGTAGTTATGCGCTCTGGCGACTTCACAAGCCTTGTGTAAGCTCTGTAGTGCAGACCTGAAAGATATGCTGGGAAATGAGCACCATAGAACTGTGGGGTGCCAAAGGCCAATAACCTGTGTACCTCAAACTCTTCTAATTTTTAAATTCTATAGAATTTGTCCTCTGGAGAATCTACTCCTTGAAATTCAAGATTCTCCAATTCTGATTATACCATATTATCTACCCACAGCAAGGGACAAGACATTTGCTGAAAGATATGCATCATTAAGGTAGGGAGAAGATGGGGAAGGAGAGCTGACAACTCACCAGTGAAAAATAGGTCCAGGTACCTACGGAGCACATGATCCATGCAGTGACTGCTGTATCATTAGAAAACTAAAGATCTGACTAATTTGCCATATAAGGATTTGTTTCCCTCAGCACAGGATGTTACAGCATACATTTTCTGTAATTCTTAAGAGGCTTCACAAAGATCACATAGATGGATATCCCTAAGCCTTGAGGACATGTCCTTTAATGTTCAGGAAGTATTGATCTAATGATATTTATTATTCCTGCTGCCTTAGTCTCCTAGTCTCTTTAAATCCATGAGCTACTTTCTAAGAACAGATCTGGTTATTCTTTTTTGTTGAGACAGCGACTCACTCTGTCGCCAAGGCTGGAGTGCAGTGGTGTGATCTCTGCTTACTGCAACCTCTACCTCCTGGGTTCAAGTGATTCTCATGCCTCAGCCTCCCGAGTAGTAGCTGGGATTACAGGTGCATGCCACTACACTAGGTTAATTTTTGTTTTAGTTGAACAGGTTTTTGCTATGTTGGTCAGGCAGGTCTGGAACTCCTGGACTCAAGACATCCGTCCGTCTTGGCCTCCAAAAATGCTGGGATTACAGGTGTGAGCCACTGTGCCTGGCCTAACTCTGGTAATTCTGAGACTAATTAAACCTTCTGGCTCTCTCTGAACTCAGGAACCCAAGAAGAGTAAACAAATTGAAAAGTACATTTTTCATTATATATGTGGGAAAAGCTTAAGCTAGAAATACAACGAAGTAAGTTATACAAGAGCAAGAACCTTTCTACACTTTGTTTACCCAAGTGAGTAAAAGAATACCTAGTTCATAGGTGGAGCTCAATTAGTATTTGTTGAGTGAAATGTCATTAGCTATAAACTAATGTCTCTCTAAGAAAAAAGACATTATGGCCAGGCATGGTGGCTCATGCCTGTAATCCTAGCACTTTGGGAGGCCAAGGTGGGTGGATCACTTGAGGTCAGGAGATCAAGATCAGCCTAACCAACATGGTGAAACCCCATCTCTACTAAAAATACAAGAATTAGCCAGTGAGCAGTGGCACATGCCTGTAGTCCCAGGTACTCGGGAGGCTGAGGTGGGAGAATCTCTTGAACCTGGGAGACGGAGGCTGCAGTGAGCTGAGATGGTGCCACTGCACTCCAGCCTGGGTGACAGAGCAAGACTCTGTCTCAAAAATATATATATATATTTTTGTTTCCCTCGTAACAAAAATGATGCATGTCTACTTTAGAAAATTAGGGACCTCAGAGAAAAGGCAGAAATATCCTGTAATCCTACCACCCTGAAATAACCGCTGTTAAGGTTTTAGTGTAGATTTTTCCAGTCTTTTTGGCTATGCATAGATGTATAATAAACAAAGATATGACCATATTCTCCATACCATCTATAACTTGCTCTTTTGTTTTACAGCCTATCATCAACATCTTTCCATGTCAAATATTTTTCAACTGGATCATTTTTAATGGCTGCATAATATTTAATGATATAGATGTACCATAATTTACTAATTCCTATTTTTCAATCATTTAAATTGTTTTTCATTTTTTGCTATTATTAGAACACTGACAAACATTCTTATAGCTAAAATCTTTGCACACATCCATGTTTACAAACATGGAGTAAACTCATAGAAGTAGAGTTACTAGGACAAAGATCATGCAAAATGATAAGGCATATTGGCAAATCACTCTCCAGAAAGGCTGCTCCAGTTCATTCTTCCACCAATAGTACATCACAGTGTTTGTTCCTTGAATCCCTGTCCACCCTATACAATGTAAATTAAGAAAACAAATTTAAACCAATTTAATAAGGGGAAATGTGTTGGTCCATTTTTATTAGGAAAACACAAATGTTTTCCTTAAAAAAAAGTTGCAGAGTCTTTTAAAAATGCTTTCTATTATTCAAAGTAAGCCAAAGTCTCAAGAGAATAATCTGAGAATTTCAGTTTCATTACACAGATTCAAAGGTAAGAGCCAGCTTAGTGTAACTTACAGAATGCCTAATGCATGTTTCTTCATCTAGGAAACACATGCTCCAAAAGCATATGCCACAGAGTCTGGTGCAACTGTCCTAAAATATACTCAAGGCCTAGGCACCTCAGATACTCCAGCTGCATCGGAGTGGGAGGCTGCAGTAACTATCTTCCTGTGAAGGAAACACCTGGTCTAAACGTTGCTTTGATCCACACATCATCTATTTTTTTTCTCCTGTGACTTCAACTCACTACTCCCCATAAGGTACATCAAGAAAAGTTTATTCTGCAATAAGAGCTAGGATCAGTTTACTTTTACAGGGATGTCCAATTTTTTGGCTTCCCTGGGCCACATTGGAAGAACTGTCTTGGGCCACACACAGAATACACTAATGATAGCTAATGAGCTAAAAAAAAAAAAAAAAAAAAAAAAAAAAAAAAAAAAAAAAATTGCAAAAAAAAATCTCGTATTTTAGCAAAGTTTTATGAATTTGGATTAGAATTTTAGGAAAGTTTTATGAATTTGTGTTGGGCCGCATGCAAAGCCGTTCTGAGATGCATGTGGCCTATGGGCCATAGGTTGGACAAGCTTGCTTTAGAACATCAAAGCTTGATTTAAGGTTATTACTTGAATTAAGACTGCTCTGTACTCTTCCCCAAAATATACCTGAAAATGCTGTCATTTATGGTTGTTACTGCTGTTTGGATTTACTTGTTACTTAAGAACAGATAAGTCAGGCCGGGCGCGGTGGCTCAAGCCTGTAATCCCAGCACTTTGGGAGGCCGAGACGGGCGGATCACGAGGTCAGGAGATCGAGACCATCCTGGCTAACACGGTGAAACCCCGTCTCTACTAAGAAATACAAAAAACTAGCCGGGCGAGGTGGCGGGTGCCTGTAGTCCCAGCTACTCGGGAGGCTGAGGCCGGAGAATGGCGTGAACCCGGGAGGCGGAGCTTGCAGTGAGCTGAGATCCATCCGGCCACTGCACTCCAGCCCGGGCGACAGATCGAGACTCCGTCTCAAAAAAAAAAAAAAAAAGAACAGATAAGTCAATTGTCTTTAACTGAACCTTAGTCAAGGGAGGTCATAAATTTCCTAAGTTTCCCATGAGAAACTTACCTGCAAAATATGTCCTAACTCTAAAAATCTGGTCTAAACACATGACCTGAAACTGTCCTATCTCAATCACTGCAGGTAATGATAAGACTTAATTGTTCAGTGACGCTTTGGACTCCACCCACTTCCATCCTATCAATTCTGTTTTCAGGGGTAGATTATCTCCCCGGGGTCTTTTTCAGGCTCTTTTATTTCTTGTTTTGCTTGCATTCTGTCCATTCCACTCCTCACAGGGACTTCTACTACCTAACAGGCAGCTGAATAAGAAATCGAAATTCAAATCCCTGACTGGGGAATGAATTCTGAATCTTAGTCACATCATTCTCTGGCTATATTAGATAATTTTCTTTTTCTTTTTTTTTTTTTTTTTGAGACGGAGTCTTGCTCTGTCGCCCAGGCTGGAGTGCAGTGGCCCGATCTCAGCTCACTGCAAGCTCCGCCTCCTGGGTTTACGCCATTCTCCTGCCTCAGCCTCCCGAGTAGCTGGGACTACAGGCGCCCGCCACCTCGCCTGGCTAGTTTTTTTATTTTTTAGTAGAGACGGGGTTTCACTGTGTTAGCCAGGATGGTCTCAATCTCCTGACGGTGATCTGCCTGTCTCGGCCTCCCAAAGTGCTGGGATTACAGGCTTGAACCACCGCGCCCAGCTATTAGATAATTTTCTAGATAATCTAAAATAAGAGAATAAGAGGCGAGGTGAAGTGGCTCACACCTGCAATCCCAGCACTTTGGGAGGCCAAGGCAGGAGGACTGCTTGAGGCCAGGAGTTCAAGACCAGCCTGGGCAACACAGAGACACCCCCGTCTCCATAAAAAAATTTAAAAAATTAGCCAGGTGTAGTGGCACATGCATGTAGTCATAGCTGCTTAGGAGGCTGAGGTAGGAAGAACACTCGAGCCCAGGAGTTGGAGGCTGCCATAAGCTATGATTGCACCACTGCGCTCTAGCCTGGGCAACAGAGGGAGACCTTGTCTCTTTAAAAGAGAGAGAGAGAGAGAGAGAGAGAGAGAGAGAGAGAAATACCTATCCTGTCTAAATGTAAGAAATACTCTCAGGGCAGTTATGTAACCCCTCCAAAGCATGTTTTCTCACCCATAGTAAGGGGCTAATAATATTATTTTGGGGGCTTGGTATGATGATTAAATAAAATCCATGTAAAACATCTGGCATGTAGTAAATAGCCCTGAAATGTCCATATGCCAGCTGATGGTTATTAGCAAGTATAATGTTTTCTCTAGGCTTTATTTGCATTATGCAAATAGCCACCAGCAGTTTAAATGGAAATTTATCTATCCATAAAGTAACTCTGTGAATGCTATCCCTGGTTACCTTAAGAAATAGCTAATGCAGGCCAGGCGCAGTGGCTCACACGTGTAATTCCAGCACTTTGGGGGGCTGAGGTGGGCAGATCATGAGGTCAGGAGTTTGAGACCAGCCTGGCCAATATGGTGAAACCCTGTCTCTACTAAAAAATACAAAAAAATTAGCCAGGCATAGTGGCACGTGCCTGTAGTCCTAGCTACTCGGGAGGCTGAGGCAGGAGAATCGCCTGAACCTGGGAGGCAGAGGTGGCAGTGAGCCGAGATTGCGCCACTGCACTCCAGCCTGGGCAACAGAGTGAGGCTTCGTCTCAAAAAAAAAAAAAAAAAAGAAAAAAAAAGAAATAGCTAATGCGTAGCATTGTATGTTCTAGATTTGGCTCTTAGTCCACTAAGTAATTAACTTAGTCAATGTGTCCCTAATAAAGCTCAGTATCAACTGGCTTATCTAAACCATTAAGTCTCTGCCAGAGCCTAAGAATACCACCTCTGAATTCCTCTGAATTTCACTTGTTCACCAATACTCAAGGCCTTCCAGTTGTTAAAAATTTGAATATTGCATTTCTAGGTCATCTTTAACTACGATGGTTACACAAACAGATCATTTAGCATTTTCAAAGCAAATTGTACCATTTCAGACATTTCTTATAAAATATTGCTCCAATAACATTAAAACACTTTTGTAGAGATAGTAAAAGTCATCTTACCACATTGCCTGCACAGATACAGGTTTGAATATGTGAACTCTGTTATCCGTCGATACACTGAACCCACTAAGGACAAATGAGAACAAGACAAAAATCCACAAATTAGGGTAGGTTATTTCAGTTGTGAGTTTTCACGGATGTATCCCAGGCTAACCACAACTGGCTCCGTAGAGGGAATCATCAGGCATTTCATGTAGAAGTTTTAACTAGAGAATAAGACTTGACAGAAAAGCTTTGACAGATTGTCTTGACTTCATCTACCAAGCAAAATGAATGGATTCCCATATTGGAGTTAGGGAATTAAATACAGTTTCCCAGCTGTAGCTATGGACAAAATGTTCTGTATATTTCTATTTGGAGGTCTTGTGGGTTCTTAGCAAACCTGACCCTGGTTTTATAAACTGGAGCAAACATCTTGGTCTCTTGGGGACACATTCTAAAAACATTAGGAGGTAGGGTGGGGGTGGGGTCACTGGAAGGAACTGGCATAGCAAAGGGGTTATACTGTAGGCTGACAGCTGGCAGAGGCGGCAAGAGGTTATTTGAAACAGAACATATCATCCTTTGGGAGAGCATTGCAACAGTCCCACATGCTCAGATTAAAGAGCCAACAAACTAGTTCTTCTTTGTCTTGATTCCTACCACAGTCGGCCTAGAAGAACAGATGTGAGAGACCCTGGCAAGTTGTATTTTTACTCCACTTTACAAAACAAGAGTTTAAAAGGACTCATTGAGCTGCTGACATGAAAGTTCGGTTGGCACACTGGGCCTCCCTTTTAGCTGAATGAATGTGCAGTAAGATGGAGCCCCACCCCTTGGCTTTCTGTAACAGAATAAAAAAGGAAATCTCTTACCCATCACCATCCAAATGAATTAGCGTGTCGCTCCAGAGAGGCAAAACTAAGCCCATGGTACAAGTGCTACTGCAAGACAAGAAATAGTCCACAAGTTACTCCCTGTTACTCTGGGAAGCAGTCTTTTGTTTACTAACTCTTTCAACACCAAGGATAAACCCTTAAATTCTAAATTCTGGCATACGTGTTACAGTGAAGAAATTTCTATCATATCACTATTAATCTTATGTATGTCCTCAGGAGCTGTTTTAAAGACATAGTGAGTCAGTTCCTTAAATATTTAATGAAGAAAACTTGCTGACTCAGCTTCCTACATTGTCATCTTGCAAATGACCACTATCTAAAAAATGCAGATGATTGCTGCTGACTTGCATTTGGCAGGTCTTAGCACAAGGTACAGTGCCCAACTGAACACCAGTGATTTTTTTTTTTTTTTTTTTGAGATGCAGTCTTACTTTGTTGCCCAGGCTGGAGTGCAGTAGCACAGTCTCGGCTCACTGAAACCTCTGATTCCCGGGTTCAAGCAATTCCCCTACCTCAGCCTCCCCAGTAGCTGGGATTACAGGTGAGCGCCACCACACCCGGCTAATTTTTTGTACTTTTAGTAGAGATGGGGTTTCACCATGTTGGCCAGGCTGTAATCCCAGCACTTTGGGAGGCCGAGGTGGGCGGATCACCTGAGGTCAGGAGTTCAAGACCAGCCTGGCCAACATGGTGAAACCCTGTCTCTACACTAAAAATACAAAAATTAGCTGGGTGCAGTGGCAAGCGCCTGTTATCCCAGCTACTCAGGAGGCTGAGGCAGGAGAATCACTTGAACCTGGGAGGCAGAAGTTGCAGTGAGCTGAGACTGCACCATTGTACTCCAGCTCTGGAGACAGAGCAAGACTGTCTCAAAAAGAGTGATTCCAGAGCTCAGGAGATTCAAATCAAGACTGAAAGAGCTTATCCACATTGCAACCTGGACCTGAACAACAGAAACACAGCTACCATGCCAGAGTCCAGGAGCAAGACAGCTCTACCACAAGTTTTGTTGAGCAGATGAGATGAGCGCACAAAAAATTTGTTTTGAAAATGGCTTCACAAGATGAAGTCGGGATAGTTTTACGGTAGCTTTTTGCTTTGTATTTAGTGAGTGCTTAGCCAGGTTCTTAGCAACAAGTATAATTTGGAGTATAAATATGATGGGTTGGTAGCCCAGTGACAAATCCAGAAATTAACTATATAAAAAGATATAGACGCTGCAAAAGGGTGTGATCTATAAGCTTGTGACCAGATTTTGGTTAACCTTTGGACAAGTGACATTGATAGACAGGAACCAACATTACATTTTTGGCTTGTATTCAGGCCAGAATGCTTTTTTACATTAAGCAGCAGCTTTTTTAGCTGGGTGTGGTGGCTCACGTCTGTAATCCCAGCACTTTGGGAAGCAGAGGCGGGCGGATCACAAGGTCAAGAGATCGAGACCATCCTGGTCAACATGGTGAAACCCCGTCTCTACTAAAAATACAAAAATTAGCTGGGCATGGTGGTGTGTGCCTGTAGTCCCAGCTGCTCGGGAGGCTAAGGCAGGAGAATCGCTTGAACCTGGGAGGCGGAGGTTGCAGTGAGCCGAAATTGTGCCACTGCACTCCAGCTTGGCCACAGAGCGAGACTCTGTCTCAAAAAAAAAAAAAAGAAGTAGCTTTTTCACACAACAGGAAGGAAAGGCCTGAATAAGGCACACTTGGTATTTTTATCCAGGTTACCTCAGTCTCTCAAGATTTTTCTCCATTAAAGTATAACTACTTACTTTAGTAAATATTCAACTCATTCAATAACGATTTATTTAGTGCCTACTATGTACCAGACATTTCAAGGTGTCAGGAGTACAAAAAGAAATGGAAAAAAAAAAACACAACAACAAACCACGAAGATCTATTATTTTATAACTTGAAATATATGTTACATTTTAGAAATCAAGATTATGCTGCATACTAAAAAATTTATTTAAATATAATACTCAAAGAACTTGTAAATGGGCTAAATGAATTGGCTGCGACATATTATTAAGAATTATTTGTACTTGTCATTATCTGGGTTCCACTTAGGCTTAATACTATTTTGAAGCATTAACATTTTACATTCTCAGATATGAAATGATACAAATTCAAATTCCTTCAACAACAACTGAGACAGAAATGATTTTAGATTACGTGAGCACCTGAGACTTCTTACAGTCCAAGGAACTCATTAAAGCGAGGATGTATGGGAATTTCATAATAGTAAGTTTAGCAAACAGAATGAAAACTAGTTTCTAGTGTTTCATGTCTTATTTTGTCTTCTATAAACTAAAATTTCCTTTGGCTAGTGACACTGGTCAGATATGAATCAGACAGGGCTACTGGCAAAAGATAGATGTAATTCACTGAGTATAAACTACTGGGTACCTATATTAATATGCATTCTTTCTGGTAAAGTTTAGGACAAAGTGAAAGAGATTAAGATTTAGACATGTGCTTGCTGATATTCTGGGTCAGAAGAATCTGCGGTTATTGTCTTCTGTCTCTAGGGGAAGATTCAATTGAAGCTTTGTGAGGTTCCTGTTCCTGTTTTATAGGGTTTTCAAGGGAGGGGGACAGGAAGAACTGAACAAAGGAAATACTAGCTAGAACAGTGCTGTCCAACTGAACTTTCTGCAAGAATGGAAAATGTTCTATACATGTACTAATATGATAGCCACTAGCACATACGGTTACTGAATACTTGAAATGTGACTAGTTGGAACTGAGGAACTGAAATTTCATTTAATTTTAATCTATTTAAAAAGACACATGCATGCTGTATGCAGTCGCTCATGCCTATAATCCCAGCACTCAGGAAGGCAGAGGCAGGAGCTCAGGAGTTGAGACCAGCCTGGACAACACAGAGAGACCGTGTTCTCCACAAAAAGGAAAAAAGAAAGGAAGGAAGATGAAAGAAGGAAGGAAGGCAGGCAGGCAGGCAGGCAGGATGGCAGGCAGGCAGGCAGGCAAGAAGGAAGGAAGGGGCACATATGGTTAGTGGCTACTATACTGGACAATACAGATCTAGAGAGATTAAAAACCTAAATTAGAGGTCCTAAAATCCTAATGAATGTAAACAAGGTAGGTGCTGTTATAGGAAAATGCTTACTGAAAGCTCCGTTGCTTAATCAGAAGTTAAACCCATGCAGGAGAAAGCTTCCTAAATGTGGTTTACAAGCCCGTGTAAATTTAGAGCCTACAATTAAATGCTGTTAAGTGGTATACAAGCTAATAACTTTGGCTTTGGGAATCCCTGTGAACCCCCAAGTTATTTTCAGGTTGACTTCTATATAGGAATAAGGTAAACATTGGTTTGGGAAACTTTCTAGTGATAAAATGATTTTTTTCCCCTCAACATCAGGACAATTAGAATCATTCCCAGGCTCCTCCTCTCTTTGTGACTAAATTTCCCTAGGCCTGGGTCACACCCCTAGCTACTCCAAAGTTCCATTCTAGTCCTGAACCAGGAAGTCAATGCTTTGAGACATCTGGCAGGATTTCCTGAGGCTTATTATCCAGGGTGTAAAGATCTGCTTAGCAGCCACATTCCACAGTCTTCCGAAGGTTTCTCCAGAAAAAGTGGGAAAAATAAAAAAGGAAAGCAACAAACCTTAACGACACACAAAAAGGACAGGTGTTGTGTGTTATCTTTCATCATAGAATATAAAGTACAGCTAAAGCCAAAGGTACATAAAAAGTTCTGCTTTGAGTTTAAGGAGCCATCCTGTACCGCCCCTGCCCGCCCCTCCACCATCCTTTTTAACTCAATAAAAGGAAAAAGGAGGCATAACATTTGGTAAAAGCAAGGTTTAAGGACATGGATAAACAAAACAGATGGTAGTTTAAGTGGGATCTCTTTGGATCTGGGACCACTGGTATACTACCACAAAGGCTGGGTGCCCTATAATCACCAAAGTGAATCATTACTGACTACAATAGAGTAGGCCAGGTGCAAGGCTCATGCCTATAATTCCAGAACTTTGGGAAGCCCAAGTGGGAGGATCGCTTAAGCCCAGGAATTCAAGACCAGCCTGGCCAACATAAGGAAATCTCGTCTCCAGAAAAATAAGGAAAAAAAAAAAAAAAAAAAAGACCAAATAGCTGGGTATGGTGGTGCATGCCTGTACTTCCAGTTACTTAGGAGGCTGAGGTGGAGGAATTTGAGGCTGTAGTGAGCTGTGACTGTATCACGGCACTTCAGCCTGGACAACAGAGTGAGACATTGTCTCAAAAAAATAAATAAAAAGGCAGCTTTTTAAATGTAACTTTGAAACCACTTGCTTTATATTGTGACTATCTAAAGATGAGATGAAGGTATGGAATAATGGTAAATTAGAAACTCAGAACCAAAGACATTCACTAAACATTCTTGTTTCTCAAGACTGTGGCTAAGATACTTATGTTCTTTAGTTTTATGTCTTGTACTTTAACAGCAGAACTGCACAAGATATTTTTGTGATGAAAGGCAACTGGGGTCAGGCACGGTGGCTCACGCCTGTCATCTCAGCACTTTGGGAGGCTGAGGTGGGTGGATCATTTGAAGTCAGGAGTTTGAAACTGGCCAACATGGCAAAACTCTGTCTCTACTAAAAATACAAAAATTAATCGGGCATAGTGGTGCACACCTGTAATCCCAGCTACTCGGGAGGCTGAGGTAGGAGAATTGCTTGAACCCAGGAGGCAGAGGTTGCAGTGAACCAAGATTGTGCCACTGCATTCCAGTCTGGGCAACAGAGTGATGACATTCCGTCCCCCTGCCCCCCACCAAAAAAAAAAAAACAACTGGAACAGGTTACTTAAAACGCAGTTTTCACATTTTGAAATGGTACCACCATACCTGTCATTAGAGGAGAAATCCATTCCTAGGACGATGCTTTCTTCGGTGTCTTGTCTACCATTAGTTGAAACCACTACCATATAGCGTGTTCGATTCTGGTAAGTACTTTCCAGTCTTACAGCCTGGAAGTTAGCACACAACAGAGATATTATGAAATTTAGAATGTTAATTTCAGATCATTTCAACCCCTTTTCATCAGCGTCTTTAGCATACTCAGGAAGGCAGCAGAGTCAGTAGTTAGGAGACATAAATTAAAATCTCAGCTTGTATACTAGCTATAAAACCTTTGGTAAGTTACTAAATTAATTGGAGGGAGATATAATAATACCTATCTGTCTGGTTGTTTTAAGAATCTTATAAAATAATACATGTAAAGCACCGTGCTTGGCACACAGTAAATGCTCAATAAGATGTTTGTTATTAGCGTAATTTATACTAATTACCACAGTGTGTAATAAAGATTGAAGAGGGAAATGTGAGGCATATGAATGTGAGCATTGGTCTCAGAGATGCAATTCCCACAAACAATTATAATATGGAGCAAACTATTAGCAACATCTAAGGCGAGTATTGACTTTGCTATACTGAATTCCTGCATGTTAATGCACTATAAGATTTTCTTAAGTTTCAATGATAACTAAAGGAGATTGCATTTTCAGAAACTTCTCATTTTTTGTCAAAAGTTTTAATTTATTGCTTAAATTTTAAAAAGACCCTCAGAAAATTTGAATACGGACAGGGTCTTAGATGAAATTAAGGATTTACTGTTAATGTAATAATGGCATTGTGGTTACTGTGACTTTTTCTTAAGTACTGGGAGTGAAATGACATGATTTCTGAGTTTTACTTTAAAATGTTCCAACAAAAAAAATTAACACAGAGTGGGGATAGATGAAAGAAGTCAGGCAAAAGGTTGATGGTTATTAAAGGTAAGTAATGGCCAGGCGCGGTGGCTTACGCCTATAATCCCAGCACTTTGGGAGGCCAAGTAGGCAGATCACCTGAGGTCAGGAGTTCAAGACCAGCCTAGCCAACATGGTGAAACCCTGTCTCTACTAAAAATACAAAAAAAAATTAGCTGGGTGTGGTGGCACATGCCTGTAATCCCAGCTACTCAGGAGGCTGAGGCAGAAGGATCGCTGGAACCCAAAAGGCAGAGGTTGCAGTGAGCTGAGATCACACCACTGCCCTCCAGCCTGGGTGACAGAGTGAGACTCTAGTCAAAAAAAAAAAAAAAAAAAAAAAAAAAAAAAAAAAAAAAAAAGCTGAGTAATGAGTTTATGAGGATGTACTTTCTTTCTTTCTTTCTTTTTTTTTTAACAGGTGTGAGTCACCATGCCTGGCTAAGGATGTACTTTCTACTTTAATATATGTTTGGAAATTTTCTTAGTAAGTTCCAAAAGGTATCCTTTTTTTTTTTTTTTTTTTTTTGAGACAGAGTCTTGTTCTGTCACCCAGGCTGGAGTGCAGTGGCTGGACCTCAGCTCACTGCAAGCTCCGCCTCCCGGGTTTACGCCATTCTCCTGCCTCAGCCTCCCGAGTAGCTGGGACTACAGGCACCCGCCACCTCGCTCGGCTAGTTTTTTTTGTATTTTTTTTTTAGTAGGATGGGGTTTCACTGTGTTAGCCAGGATGGTCTTGATCTCCTGACCTCGTGATCTGCCCGTCTTGGCCTCCCAAAGCCAAAAGGTATCTTATAAGCCTTAAAAATAAAACAACTACAGGCAACACATTCAAATAATACACATATATTTATGTATATATTATGAATATTTATGTAAATATTTATTATACACATACAATAACAATGCCAAGTGCTGAGGATTCAATGGTGGAAGAGAGAGACATGATCTATGCCCTCATTGAGTGTATAGTCTAGGCTACTCTTCTTTCATTTGTTAATAATTTTAAAGACAGCTTTTTTTTTTTCAAGAGACGGAGTCTTGCTCTGTCCCCCATGCTGGAGTGCAGTGGTGTGATCTCGGCTTACTGCAATCTCCGCCTCCCAGGTTCAAGCAATTCTCCTGCCTCAGCCTCCTGGGTAGCTGGGACTATAGGCACATGCTGCCATGCCCGGCTTTTTTGTTTTTTTTTTTTGTATTTTAGTACAGATGAGGTTTCACCATGTTGCCCAGGCTCAGGCAATTCGCCTGCCTCGGCCTCCCAAAGTGCTAGGATTACAGGCGCGAGCCACTGCACCTGGTTTTTTTTTTTTTTTTTTTTTTTTTTTTTTTTTTTTGAGACAGGGTCTCCCTCTGTCACTCAGGTTGGAGTGCAATGGCGCGATCTCGGCTCACTGCAACCTCTGCTTCCTGGGTTTAAGCGATTCTCCTACCTCAGCCTTCCGAGTAACTGGGATTACAGGCGCACGCCACTGCGCCTAATTTTTGTATTTTTATAGAGACAGGGTTTCATCATGTTGGCCAGATGGCCAGGCTGGTCTCGAACTCCTGCCTCAGGTGGTCCACCCACTTCGGCCTCCCAAAGTGCTGGGATTACAGGCGTGAACCACCCACCTGGCAAAATGACAGATCTTTGAAGCCAGAAAAATGTGCTCTGGAGGCAAATTCTTCTGTGTAAAATAACCCCTCTTCCTTAGAGAAACAATTCTAATCCATCAACTGGCTCATTATATTTGTCAGAAATTTCTATTTGGAATTTTTTTTTCAGTGCTGCTGTTCTTAGAGTCTCCCTCCTCTTAACTCTGTCACTATTCCAAAATGGCCAGGCAAAGGGAAAAAGAGGCATAGTTACATAGCTCAAATGACCCATTTAGCAAGGCAGAGGTGAGATTCCCGTGGCTATCTTTTTGTCTCTATTCTGATACTCCTAGGAAAATTTAGGGAAGCATAAATGACAGAAGTGGCTACATTAAATCTTGTTTCTAATAAGAACAGATATAACAAGAATGTAATGCTTACCATTCTGATGCCAAATGCATAAGATAGAGAACTGTACTTCTGACTTCATGTTCCATGAAGTAATTGAGCATTTAAAACCAAATTCACTTATGAGAAGCTAAGAGGAACTAACATTTAAATAGACTAAGATCTAGAAGGCTGGGATCAAGAGTGGGACATTACACACACAGAACAATGAATAAATAGTAAATGTACATGTGGCCGACTGGGAGGCAGTACTGACTCCTTCTCTGCTTGTAGACACACTCTACAACATGTTAATTCATCAGAAATCCTGGTGCAGGTAAACTAGAATTTCTTATAAACAAGATCTTGTATATTATTACATATTTACATTTGGGCCTCCCTTGGCCCAAGTTTCCTGAATGTATTAGAGGCTCTTTTATTCTCTGTCAAGGCTCCAAGAATTTCTGGCAAGGCTCAAATACAAATGGCCTGGGAACAACTGAACTTTGTTTCTGACAATTTATCTACAACTCCTACACCAACCAGTGGCAACTGATTGGCTAAGTCAAAGCTGATAAAAGGAAAAATATAACTTTCATAAGTATTACCTATAATGCAAGTTACCAGGCCAAGTTAGAAGTGGGCTATAAGAGTTTCTTTGTAAGTGATATTCACTGCAAACATTAGTTGTCTCTTTTTTTTTTTTTTTTTTTTTGAGATGGAGTTTCACTCTGTCGCCCAGGCTGGAGTGCAGTGGTGTGATCTCAGCTCACTGAAACCTCTGCCCCCTGGGTTCAAGCAACTCTCCTGCCTCAGCCTCCCGAGTAAATGGGATTACAGGTGCCTGCCACTGCGCCTGGCTACTTTTTGTATTTTTAGTAGAGACGGGGTTTCACCATGTTGGCCAGGATGCTCTCAATCTCTTGACCTTGTGATCCACCCACCTTGGCCTCCCAAAGTGCTGGGATTACAGGCGCAAGCCACTTCGCCCGGCCAGCTGTCTCTTTTTAAAAAGTTTATTTTATAATATCAAAAGCATTTCAAATGTTTGGCTCGCCCTTGCTTACTCAAACTGTAACAGAAGTTCCCAAACCTAATGAGAAGGGCCCCAGCCATTTCATACTGACTTAGGCTTGAATACCATGCATATTTCAGATCCATTCAATTTTCAGCTTCTTTTTTGTTTTTGTGTTTCACTCTGTTACCCAGGCTGGAATGCAGTGGGGTGTTCTGCAACCTCTGCCTCCCGGGGTCAAGCAATCCTCCCACCTCAGCCTCCCAAAGAACTGGGACCACAAGTGCCCGCCACCATGCTTGGCTAATTTTTTGTATCTTTGGTAGAGATGAGGTTTCACCATGTTGTCCAGACTGGTCAATTTTAAGCTTCTTAAATGGAAGAACAGCACTTAAGAGTTCCTGGAATTTGATCACAGGCCTCTAGATAGTACCTACAGTATTAATTCAACACCTATCTCCTAATTAGAAGGATGAGATAAAAATCTTTGAAGAAAAAATTCTGAAACGTGAGGGGATAAACCCAAGACTTTATTTAAAGTTCCTTTTAGGCTGGGCGCAGTGGTTCACGCCTGTAATCTCAAAACTTTGGGAGGCTGAGACAGGCGGGTCGCTTGAGGTCAGGAGTTCGAGATCAGCCTGGCCAACATGGCAAAATCCTCTCTCTACTAAAAATACAAAAAAAATTAGCTGGGTGTGGTGGCGTGTGTCTGTAATCCCAGCTGCTCAGGTGGCTGAGGCAGGAGAATCACTGGATCCCGGGAGGAGGAGGTTGCAGTAGGTTGAGATCACGCCACTCCACTCCAGCCTAGGCAACAGGGTGAGTGAGACCCTCAAAAAAAAAAAAAGTTCATTTTAAGCTTCAAGATTCTAGGTTAATGAATTAAAAATCTATGTGCCACAGCCATAAGGAAAAGTCTAACGCCCATCCTGGTTTGAGGTTTATTTCATATTCCTCCACTGGAGATAAGATTAAGCAAAATGTAATAATTTAATTTATTAACACAATCAAATAAATTTAAAATGACAATTTTGTTCATAATACCCTAATTTTGAAAATGACAGCATTTCCAATGTTTCTTCAGTCTCCAGAACTTATATTGAAATCAATGACTGGAATAAGACAATTGAGATGCATTTCATTAATCAACTAAAGTTCTCCTTGAAAAGGACACTACTGAAGTACATTTTAATTGTCTGAACAAAACAATATCCTGGATTTTAAAACTTGGCAGCAATAG